GATGACTCAAAAAAGAGTCGAAACGTATTAAATACATGTAATTTTGAATAAAGGATTTTATATATCCAAGTTTATTGATTGGCGTATCAACAACAACGCGGCACTCTCATTCGCCTCTGAATATAGGATTTCTTGTGGATTCGTTATTAATTTATGGTTGTCCCATAAAATAACTATGAATTATAGTTAAATTATGGTTGTTCCAATCATTTTTTTTCTCTCTGTGTATATATTATCTTCAACGTTTAAAACTAATTAAAAAATATATAAATCAATTATGTGAATCTCCTTATTAGTTTGTATGTAAAAACTTGAGAAAAATAAATACAACATCTATATTTATGTGTATACGTTGATATTTGAATCTAACCAGATTTAATTTTATGCCGATGTAAAATCTACAGATTAACAGAATTAAATGCAGTAATTGTGACGTTTAAATCGAACGTTTCTGTATCTTTTATGAAACTTGCAACCGCTTTTATTATTAACAGAAAATGCACCAGAAGTATTTCTGGTTGCAGCGCTAATCGGATTTTCCGTAAGTATACGCTAATCACGTTCGCGCATAAATATAGATTTTTCCAACGGACTTTCCTCGCGTGTGTTATAAATATTAAAGATTTGTAGTAACCGTCGTTTTCCTCTTGCATCTCTTTGCGGAGCTCGTTAACAAAAAAAAAAAATAATTTAATTAAGCTCGTGCTTAATGCGACAGACGCAACGTAGATTCTCGTTAAAACCGGATACGGATCACGAATTACGCAACTATTTGCGCGGCGGTAGGAATTCGCGCTGCACCTGCAAAACGCGCGATGTCATCAAACGTCATCAGCAAAATTCTTTTAGCCGGACGTGTGCGTCTACAAGAAGGAGGAGTCCGCTCGTGCCGCGATGATTTTTAACATCTTCTTTTTAACATTTGATACTAACCGTTTTACCACGCACACAATATTACGCCTCCATGGATTCTGTTCTAGAAAAACGCACGCATCGCGAAAGGATGCGATTAATATATGATAGGAAAAGACCTCTCGATCCGGTCTTGTTGAATATAAATCGCAAGTTACGTGCGATGAATTAAACGAGCAGGTATATATGTTTTCCTTTCGTTGCACCTGTGTCTCCTTTTATATTCCGAGGGTACGTTTCTCCGTGTGTAGAAAATAATAGACATTTTGCAAGAGCGTGCTCCGGATACGGTAAACGATAACGTCGCGCCGCGCCGCGTCGGATGAGCATGAATTTGGGACGAACCTGTATCGCCAAGAGGATCTTTAGGTGTTTCGCGCCAAGTATTGAGGTCTTTTAACGCTTAAGGTATATTTAAAATTTTTTAACGCGTTTGTACGTATCACGAAACGCGTATCGCAGTGGCGAATAGGACGCGGAAATTCCGGCGTCGGGAATGATTTCGTCGAGAGACGCTCTCCACAGGAGAGCGAAGAGTGTGACTCATAGACCGTGGACAAAAAAATCGAGAAGCGTAACCGGAGACGAACATTGTCAAAATGTGTCGGGGCCAACGTCCGGCGGGGAGGCGATTTCTACGAGCGCGTTTTCTAGGCTGGATCAATATGTATGGTAATGCAGTCGACTGTGTGCAGGTACACATCAGCATCGTCGTCCTACGTGCACACGCGACCGTAACTGTATTATGTGTGTGCGCGGTACGTGACTTTTCATATACGTATAATAAACATGTTACCTCGCGGCCTACGGAGTAAGTACGTATATATATACTATGAACACGCGCGTAGTAGTTATCCTATGGTATTAACATCGTCGAGGTATTAAGATAAAGTATTGGTGTAATTATGACAGTCAGCAGGTCTTATAACTTACGGGACCGAAACTATGACAAAGCAAAAGATTTCTTTTTAATTAGAGGATATATACACATAAAAATGAGCTTTTGATATCCTCTGCTGTTAAACGCATTATAAATCTAGTTCTTATTCTCATTAATTTTCAACTAGCTTGCTTCCATTTTCCCTCAAACGTTTATTGCACTATCGTTCATAAAAAAGTGTCTATGTGTTTTTGAGTATGTATGATGTGTAAATGTATGTGAGTTCGTTAAACCCAAATGACTATGCGGAACAGTCATCTCTGTGAAATGAAGAGAAAAAAAAGTTTATCGATACGGCGCCATCGATAGTCTAATAACGCATACAGGATAAAGATAGAACAATTTAATAAAGTCAGAGAATCAAATAAATTTCTTTTAAGTAGTAATATTATTCGCAATTTTTTTTCCGGAAAGGTGCTACAAAGACTTGTGGTTAAAAGCGAATAAATATCACTTAAATAAATTATTCACTATGTAGTCATAAAGATCGCATATCGAATACATTTCATTATGTATTGGGACAGGAATATTCTGATACGCAGCTATATACAATAATACTATTAATGCTATTAGTAAAAATTTATCAATATATTGAAGAGAAGAGCCTAATATAGTGATGACTGTGACTGTGACAATCCCAAAGTACATATATCACCATATATAAAGGATAAATTAGAGAAGGATTTAGCTCCATCGAATTTTCATGATGCACAGTCGAGACTGCAGACAAATAGTAACCGAGTTATCGAGACATTTCCGGCTTCATTCGAGTCGAAATCTTTAATATGTAACGAAATGCCGCACATATACTCGATAAACTTACAAAATTAAAAGTGCTTTAAAGAAATAAGAGATTTGCAACTTTATTAACAATTCATGATAGTTAAGGAGATGTGACGACACGTACGTTTCATTTAAAAAGCAAAAGCAAAAAATCATAAACGAATTAAAGCCATGGATTATGAGCTTCTTCAAAATAAACTCATATTTAAAATAAACTCGATTATTGAATTTCACTTAATTAATTACTTGCACACCTACGAAATCATTTTAACAAGCTTAAGAGAATCAACAGAGTTAATTCCCTTCCTCAAAGTTTTTAAAATTTCTAACACATTTTAAAAGGAATTCCAAGCAGTAATATACGTATATATATTGTAATTAATACATAGTATAACGTAATAATGATGAGATACTTTTAAATCCAGTCTCTCTTTCTCTCTCTCCCTCTCTTAGGAATATTCGATACAAAATGTTGTCCGAATTTCAGCTGCTGTCGATAAATATGTATGTAACACACGTGTGTGCAAATGCGAATCTCATTTCGGAGTCTCAATATGGCAGAGTTAATTATCCTATTCGTGTTTGTCTGATAGTTATTCTGGGTGAAAAGTCTCTGACCGAGATAGCCGGGTGTATGTTTGTTTCTTTCCATTCGTTAATGTCGGCATATAATGACCAAGTCCGTTGAAGTAGTCGTCGATTAATTTCGACCTTAGGACAAGATTTCCCGGATATCATACATATTGCGCGCAACGATGCATCGTTAATGAGCTATAAAAAGAACATAAATGCCTTTGCGCCATGTATTGGATAAATTTTCGACAGTGGCTAATAGAATATTATACCGTTGTTTATATAATTTCCTAAATAATATGCATGATAATATAAAAAAAATTGAAATGTATAACAATTTTATAATTTACAATATGTAACTCCCAAAATGTATCTTTCTAAAAATTTATAAATATTTTTTCTCCTTGAGGGACATTTTATACAATACATACATGCTAAATTTAAAAAAAAAACTTTCGTTTACAGGGTAGATAATATTTTAGTTTAACGTTCTTTAAACTGTGTGATAGTGCCGTACTCTTTAAGAATTTAGGATAACATAAAAAGTCTCAAAATCTCGATAAATAAAAAGATAAGTCTTACATGTAACAACCACTTTACACACTGGCGAAATTTTACGCGAATCCGAGATTGACTCAAGCATATCCTCTCAGAGAATGAAATCCTAAACGCCTCATGAGAAACGTGGTAATTACTTTTAGATTCTCGCGACGTTATGAAAATAAATCTGTCCCTCTCGCACTGGTGTGCGCGATTGCGTTCCCGGTAAGCCTTTTGTAGTATTAATGACGAACACCACGAAGAGAAATTGCACCGGGACATCTTTACGATCGAAACCCCGGCGCGCGGCGCTGAAGATCGACGACACGGACGAACACGGATGAGCCGCACACATTACGAGATTTAATTAAAGTGCCTGATGTATTTATCAACCCTCTTTCTCAGAAGCAATACAATCCGTTTAAGAAAATTCATTCCGCGAGTTTCCTTGGCGAGACAAATGGGACAAAATCGAGGCGATTCACGTATATAGAACGTTCCAATACGGATCTCGAAAGGGTAAGACGACTCGCGTTCCAGTATCTTCGCACAACGTCGTCGGTATCATTTATTGTTAAATTGCTGCAAGGAGTTGTGCTAAAACATCGACGCTAAAAATGTTAACGAGCTCAAACGAGTCCACATATTTTTGCGGTCTCACACGAGAACGAGAGAGGCAGACGGGTTAGCGTTTTACATAACGATTTATGAGCCAATATACCCATCAATTTACAAGCACGGAATCTTCGGATGTATTTGCGCTCGCGCTAGCCTTGTTAGTTCGAATTCACGGGAGCAAAAAGCCGCGCGACGAACCCTTCACTCTCGCGTGAAATTTACGGCAACGACGACGCGACGCGCGCGGCGCTCTCGCGCTAAATCAAAAACGGAATTTTTCTCGCGGCTCGACTCTGCTCGACGGTAGCAAAGTACAGGTTGCGAAGATAGTCCTTCACCGGTGGTGATTACGATGAAGAAAGAGGAAGTGAACGTCGCGGCGCGGAGGAGGGCCATGTTTCCCCGATTGCGGCCGCGCCGCAAGGAAGACAGGCATATACCTACTTCTCTTGCACCGGGGAGGTATTACGTAACTATAAATTTTAATTGAATCCGCGGGCCGCGTGGTTCTCCTCCCTCTGGTGATCATCTTCTGGCAATAAACGTAACGCGGGATGTATAAACCCGCGTGCGAGGGATGCGCGAGGGGAATACAGAGAGAGGAAAGAGGAATTAACAACTAGTTTTCACTCACCATGTAGCTGCGCGAGCGACTGCAACGTGTTGGCGGTGTTGCAGTTTATGAATCCTGAAACAGAAATAGAAAATACGCTGTTAGGAGGAAAATAGTTTTATTAATATCAATGTTATTTGGCTATGTTTCATGAAAATTTGTGATTTTGCGGAGAGAGGCAAAAAGTGTATATTAAAATGTAAAATCAAGTTTTTTTTTAGTAAGATAAACGTCAACGTCAATCAAAAACCGAAAATGAAAAGAGTTACTCTACTTTTCTTGTAACTGTTATGTTCCATCATATTAGAAGGAAGGTTTATTTCTAAATCTTAATTTAATGTGTCAAATTACTAAGATGTTAATGCAATCAGAGTTCTGTAATATTAATTTATACAAAGCTTATAAATTTGTAAAATAAAATAATACCACTTGTAAAATGCATATAACTTGCGTTGTATAGTGAAAACAGAAACCGAAATTTATTGCAAATTGATTAATTAATTCAGAAATTGTATAGAGTACAGCGCGCAATTGTGTATACAACATCGTGTAATTAAATTGTACAATATGACGCAAATACATAGGCGAAACTATTTGAAAATTTATTGAGAATGGATTAATTAATTTCCGTTATCAGACATATTATTATCCCGGGACAAAAACTATAAATATATTAGAATCGGCTGATTCGTCCTTTCACTCTGTCCTTAATAGTCAGTTATTCTCTCACTCTTGACATTAAGGGAAAATATATGAACGCGTATTTATATCGTCAAATGAGAAATGTTACAGAACATGTAGTCTTCACTTCTGAACAATGTCGTGTTAAGTTTCACGCGTGCGTGTACGGGCACATAGACGCGCGCGAATATCGTGATCTCCAACATCGGTACAACCATATATACGCCTCGAACATTCCCATGACATAAGATAACCTCTGAACTTAAAGCCCTCGGTTCGACCGGTCGAGCCCCAACCCGCGCTAACGTCCATGATGGAACATTGTGATTTAAGAATGTCGAAATGCGCTGTCGCGCCATCGTATTTCCACCTCCGACGACCTTCCGCTTTCTTCGCTGGCGCGGCGACTCACTTCCTTTATTTCCTCTGCGCTTATTGTGCGCGCAGAGTATACTTTAGTTTTTAATTTTAATAAGATTTTTCTTATCTTCGCTGGCGCTGTCGACTTAACGGACGACTTTCACGTCAATTAGTGCAAATTCATCTATTTACGGAGAGGGCAAGATCGATGTCGCACGTGTTGTCAAACGACTTTGTCAGATACGCTGACTGCGCTTATCAAATTGAGAATTTCCGGAGCCTATATGTATATAGAAAGAACGGTTTCTTTTAAAGTATTTACAGGCTTTATTCACCAAGCTCTGGTGAGGTTAATTGACGATTATTGTTTTCTAATTAATTTACTCTTTATTGATTTCTAATTCTTATAACTAGAAAAAGATGAAGAGTTACTTGAACCAAGATTAAAATTAATACATTAATTACGTTGGTAATAGAAACAAGCTTAACTCGTAGAAGTGTCAACAGTAAATTAATGTATCAGACTTCTCTTCGTTAAAGCAAACTGTATGTTTAATTCTCACGTTGGCAATCGTGATAATTGAATTAACCGTTGATTGATGTTAATCGGAGTTGTGTGATCAAAAAGTTAATAATAAATGTTTAGCTAGATTAGATATAAAAATACAGATATACATTTAATAATAATTGTTTAAAATCATCAAGATAATTATATAAGACTAAATGATAATGCTGTAAAAAGTTTTGACGTTTTAGCAATTAATTTAAATTACATAATTATTTTGATGGGCTAACGATATCTTTAAAGCTGAATGTTAGATAAATTTTTAAATGCTTCAACAATTTTACGTGTGAAAACATGTGTGGAATCCTTGAAAATTCCTAATTAAGATAAAATAATCGATGAGTGTATATTTAAGACTTATTGTATAATAATATCATTTATTATTACATGATTAATATGTTATAACAAATTTATTGACGATAAGAAGTTTCCACAAAATTCGAAACGCAAAGAAGTTACATTTCAAAGCTTTCGAAATTTTTTATTTTCAAACAATCATTAGTAAGATACGTTGATAGCTTTTATATTATATTTTCTCTAGTAATCTAATTTAATAAATATATAATGTATAATAAAATTTATAATAAAATATATTTACTATAAGCTAAAGTTTTCAAACAGGAAGGCACACAATTTCTGTTTGTCTTGCGCGATAAGATTAGCGTGACCCGAGAAACGTGGGATTCTCTCCTCTACATATGCGGAATGTCTCGCGAGTAACAACCGGGATTACGATTGCGAGTTGTACGTACCGGATAGGTGGGTATAATCGTGTTAAACGGCAATTGGTAATACGCGTTCTGGGAACAGATCTGGAATGTTCCACTTGGCGATCCGTGCGTATTACTACCGTAACCCATCACCCTAATCATCTCTCTAGCAATGTAAATAAGAACGAATCGATCGCTGCGGTAAAGACAGCTTTATCTCGTCTTTGAGGATCTGGTCACGCAACACCGCGCGCAATCTAATTCTCCCTATACAATTGCCCCTATCGTTCGAGGTATTTCTACAATTGATCGATCGCGTATGAAGTGCCGAGCATTGCGTTGCAAGCCAATTAGCCAATTTTCTGATTAAAACACTCTCGGAACACATTTCTTTCGAGATAAATACGCTCTGAAAATTTAATCGCGAAATTAAATTAATGGAAATCACTAATTAATTCTTGGATTTCTGGAAATTTGTCCTTGTATAATACTGTATTATATGTACAAGCTTTCAGATTTACAGCGATAAATTGACGTGGAGAATTTTTGACAATCGTCGTTGAAGTAAGATTTATCACGGATGTTTTGAATGTGCTTCTTCAATATAAAAATAAAGAGATATTAATGAGATTCGAATGATGTAGAGACACTTATCAACTTTTTTGTCAGATATGTCCTTCTCTTATGTACCTAACAAGCGACATGAGTTCTTATAACACTTGTGGACTGACAGGACATTCTTTCACCTTAACTTCAAAAAAGATATACCGATGTGAAATGTCCATGAGAGAGAATGAAAAAATTAATAACAAGGATCAAGTATGCGCAACTTAACGCATCCGTTTCGTCTGCAATTGATCGGTTATTAATCATTTAAAGCTAAAAAAAAAAGAAATAGGACGTCATATAATCGACCCTAATTTGAATTTTAAGACACTATACGGCGAGTACGTTACGCGTGCCTGATAGTGTTTTCTCCTGCAGGCCGTGGCATCGTGACTAATTTTCTACACCGTTACAATAATAGCAAGCGCAAGCGCAAAAACGTTTTCCGTGCGTCCGGTCGACGAACTTACGCACGGCAAATAAAGTAGCGATACCATTTCACGTCGCGTGCGTCATAGTAACAGTTATTAGCAGATTTATCAAGACATCAATCGCTTTTCATTCGTAAGTACCTTGAAAGTATAAAAATATAAATAACAAGAATAAAATATAAATAAGACTTTATTCCTCCATTATTTTTATGTTTCGTCCTTATTTTTATGCAATATTTTTTTAAGGTATTTTTAACACACTATATCAACTTCGAGCAAAGTTTCTATCTAGTTTTAATTTGTATATGATGTTCTCCAATAAAAATGTTTTTACGAAAAAGATTGCAAAAGGATACAAGATAATTAAATATCTCGCAAGAAAGTTAATTTCTACCACGTTTATCAGACGCTGTCATTACCTGCGAGAGCGTTGACGATAAATATTGATTGTCTGAGAGTCGCCTGAATAAAGGCGCCTGTCAACGATCGCGCGTTCAAAGGCGGAGAAGCGAGTGAGCGCGAGCGGAGAATATGGAAGCGTCGTTTTCACATTTTGCGAAATCGCGTCGCGTCTATGGCGCTCTTTAAAGGTTGATTCACCGCCGAAGAAGAAGAAGAGATCCGCCTGCCGTGCTCGTGCCAGCAATAACATTATCCTCCGTCAATTTGTTCCACGGATTTTACTTTCACGGTGCGTCTATTCACGTATCGATCGCTATTATCGATTATTCGGTCAGCACGTGCGTGCGTAAACCTGTTTACGCAGCGGTAACATCGTTGGAAAATTTCTGCTTAATTTTACATATACGTCCCAAACGGGCCATTCGAATCTTTGTGTTAATTTAACACGAGACGAATATGTTAGAAAGTAACACAAATATTACATATGTAAAAGAAATCGACACAAAAAATGTAATACTGATATAATTTGTAAGCAAATTGTGGAAGACGTATATTTCCAGTAAATTTATGATATGTTAAATTAACACATATTTTATTCGCGCGTTCATCTTAGAATTTACGTTTTAAACACTATTTTTATATTATTTATTCACTTACTCATAAATTATGTTTTTGGACACTAAAAATATCAATGTAACATAAAATATTGGAATAATATAATCACATTATGTATATTAACAATTGAATATGTTGAAAATGCAATATAAAATTTTAACAAGAAAACTTCAGTTTCTAACACAAAATATCTTTTACTAAAAAAAAAAAAAAAAAAGAAAAATCATCGGAAAATCCAAACTGAATCTTAACCGTCGTGAAATTGTGAAACAGTCAGAAGTGTAACAATCGTACTTTTCATTTGATAACACAAATCGACACAAGTATCGTTCTATCTTTGTTATACTCACTGAAGAGTCGAGAAAGACAAAATGATGATTGTGTCGACTTGTGTCACTAAATGAAAAGCACCAAATGTTCCGTGTACCTAACTGTTACTATATTACTTCGGTGTATGCGTTTTCAGATAATAAAAATGACCAGCAAACAAAAGCACTATTTGTCATCATTTTAACGTCAAAATAAACATCTTTAAGTCAGCTTGTTTGCTGGGCGTTTCTCGATATATTTTCTCTTATTGACTAAAGCTATTGACTTTTCCACAATTATCATTGCCTACTGACAGCTATCACAACTATATGCACAGAGGGAGAAAAAAAGTCGGTAAATTCATACCGATTATCACCGAGTCAATTTGCAATAACA